CATTATTATTAACAAAAAACTCACGTGTCCTAAAATTAATTATATAGGAATTTTCATATATTTTTCTTAATCATAAAATTCAAATACATATTATTTAGGTTATTTACTAATTAAATTGATTAATTAATGATGTATACATAAATTTCCTTATTTAATACATTGTAGTATCTTTTTGCTACGTATCGAATTCATGTAATTATGCCACATTTCCAACTTTCCAAATTTATGTCCAATTTAAATATTCGTATTATATGAATACTTACATAATTACCCTATACAAATAACATATATCATTCATTAATGGATTCTTACGTAATTACACCTTATAAAATAATATATATCGTTGATTGCTTGATTTCATACCTTATAAATCTATCAAAATCTATAATTAATTGTTATTATAATCCACTAACTATGGAAATATGTCAATTAATAAATTCTAAACAAATCTTTCTTCAATAGTTGTATTATATGAATATATTTTTCTTGAAAAGGCGAAATCCCTCGCCCCCAGGGCCCCCATCCCTTGGCCCGACAAGGATTGATGGAGGAATGTAAATCATGGTAACTCAACGGCCCGTTAAGGTAGCATACCCGGACCTGGTGCCCACAAGGAACCAACCCTCATTGGAGTTGAAATTCCCACACTACGGCTGCCAGGATTCGATCCTTGGACCTTGCACCAACTTACCACCTCCGGAACCAGTTGAGCTACACCCATGCGGGCATGAATATATAATACATGTGTGTTCATCCAACTACATCTCCATCACTCACAATTTGACGCTTGGATTTGCAAAAAAGAAAAAAGAATTACTACAAAATATGGTTTTAGAGAATGTCAACCCATCGTTTATATGTATTACGTTGTCTGCGGATTACAAAAAAAGAATGGTGAGAAATATATTTTTGTAAACATTGTAATTTTAATATCTATTTGTAAACATGCGTATTGATATACATCATACATCGTCTTATTGTTTCTTTACCGTTTGATTATGCAGGAATTGCCATCTGGATTTATTGAGCCGTACGAAGATTTATTAACTACTACCACTGAAAAATGGCTGAAATTTCAATCGGGTAAAAAGATGCGCGTGTTGGTTGAGAAGCAACCATTGATGGCACGTCTTACTATTTCACGAAAGGGTGGAGATGGTTTGTCGTAGACATGAAATTAAAACGCAAAAATGTACTTATGTTTACATTTGTAGGTAATAATACGTTGAAGTGAATGCTTTCACAATTCCGGGACAACCAAAGATCGAATTCGGCGGTCCTGCCGGGTTTGACCAGTCATATAATATGCCATTAAAAGTCATTATTGCAGACGATAAGGATGAGGTTGAAACAAATGATTTTGAGGTTTCAGTCCGAAACAATAACAGTGAAGCTAATCTTAGATTTATCAAACTACTGAAGAAACACTGCGTGCAAAGATTGGGACTACATCGCAACAAAGTCCACATGCGGAGTTGCTCATAAGGGCAAAGCTTATTTTATGGGACGAGGCTCCTATGATGCATAGATACTGTTTTGAAGGCTTGACAAGACAATGAAGTCAATATTACAAGTTGACTAACCCTTTGGTGGTAAGGTGCTTGTTCTTGGAGGAGATTTTAGGCAGATTTTACCAGTTATGTTCAAAGCATCAAGGCATGACATAGTACATGCTACGATAAACTCCTCTCCGCTGTGGAATTTCTGTCGTGTCATGAAGTTCACTATGAACATGAGATTGCAATCATTCTCTTCTCCATCTAACATGGATGGGGTAAAAGAATTTGGAGACTGGATACTGAAGGATGGTAATGGGGAGTTGGGGAAGAAAATGATAGTGAAGCTTCGTGTTACGTGGTAATTTGAGCAAAAAAACATAGTTTGAGAATTAAGAAGAAATCGAGAGATGTGAATTCAGAGAATTAAATTAGGAGAAAAATTAGAGAAGATAAAAGAGAGATAATTGATTCATAAACTTCATAATACTTCTTCGATCAAATCTCCACATTTACATAATTTATACTACTTAATAATAGAAATATAACTACCCACTAAAAGCATGTAGTGCGTGCTCCTAATTTCCAAGTGCAAGCTACTCTTGCAACTAACACCTATTTTCATGCAATTAATTTAAAACTACCCACTAATTCCTAATTTGACTAATTCTTTCTACTAATTTAATAATTAAACGTATCATTCTCGCCCACTCGAAATATCCTATCCTCAAGGATTTAGTCTTGATACGTGTATGGGATCATTTTGCGAATTCAGTTGGTTGGGTGATCCATCAATTATTTGAGAGAGTTGCTCGAACTCTTCACGATAAATAGCATCCGTGAGCGTTTGTTTCATGAAACGAGTGAGGGCTTCGGAAGGATCATCGAATTCGGTAGGGCTAAAAAGCTAGAGCAACGCCTTAGTAAAATCTTCCCCTGCCGACGAGCCATTGAACCCAATTAACCGGCGATTCTGTTCCAAAGTGAGTCCTTCCAAACGAAATGAATCGAGGTGCACCTGCTGATCTTGGGCAATACATTGAAATTCAAAATATTATTTGGCTAGGAAAATCCATTATGTTGCGTTTTCCGCGGGGACTTTTGGAATTTGTTGTTTGAGGTTTGTATTTGGGGCAGGGTTTAGAGTTGAGTGTGTTGTAGGTATATTTATTTTTTGCTTGACTGGTAGTGATGTTTCTCCCACAACAAAGGGGTTGACATCATTTTCGGGTTGGGAAGAGGCTCTTAGAGCTCGAAGTTCGGTGAGAACAACTTGGAGGGTGTTGTGTATTTTGTCGAAATTTGATTCGTGTCGAGCTAGGGTTTCAATAAACTCAGCACGAAACTCAGAATCTGATTGGTTACGTGCCTCCATGGAACGTAACGGCTCTGATACCATTGTTACGTGGTAATTTGAGCAAGAAAATATAGTTTGAGAATTAAGAAGAAATCGAGAGATGTGAATTCAGAGAATTAAATTAGGAGAAGAATTAGAGAAGATAAAAGAGAGATAATTGATTCATAAACTTCATAATACTTCTTCGATCAAATCTCCACATTTACATAATTTATACTACTTAATAATAGAAATATAACTACCCACTAAAAGCATGTAGTACGTGCTCCTAATTTCCAAGTGCAAGCTACTCTTGCAACTAACACCTATTTTCATGCAATTAATTTAAAACTACCCACTAATCCCTAATTTGACTAATTCTTTCTACTAATTTAATAATTAAACGTATCACTTCGGTAGAATTCCCGATGACATGTTGATCGATGATTCAGAAGATCCATTCAAAGACCTATAGGAATTCGTTTACCCGGATTTGTTGAGTAACATGTATGATCCAGATTATTTTCAATGGTGGGCAATTCTTGCACCAACTAATGAATGCGTCGAGTCTGTGAACGATCACTTAATGCCTCCCCTTCCAGGAGAGGAGAAGGTGTACCTGAGCTCAGATAGTATGTATAGGGACGAGCAAACAACAGAGGATAATGCAAAAATTTATTCGACTAAATTCCTCAACACAATAAGATGCTCCGGAGGTCCTTCTCATGCGTTGAAGTTCAAGGTTGGTGAACCCGTTATGCTAATAAGAAACATAGATCAAGCTAGAGGATTGTGCAACGGGAGCAAACTTCAAATTATTAGAACTGGCATTCACGTTCTGAGTTGCAAAATTCTTTCCGGAAAAAATATCGGTGACATGGTGTTCATTCCTCGGATGACTTTAATACCATCTAACTCCGGACTGCCAATTAAATTTCAGAGAAGACAATTTCTGTTGATTGTTTCTTTGCAATGACGATCAATAAAAGCCAATGCCAAACTCTTTCGCATGTTGGTTTGTATCTTTCTAGGTCTGTCTTCAGCCATGGTCAACTATATGTTGCACTGTGAGCAGATGTGACATTAAGATACTCATCAAGTCGGATTCGGGAGAACTCACCAATGTTACTAGAAATGTCGTGTACAAGGAAGTGTTTCATCGAATTTGAAGGTACAAAATATTTTCATATTTATCACTTATCAGTTATTCATGTAACATGTTTTTTTTTAACAACTTATCCTTTGGCAGGTATTTCTTCTCTATATAATTTCCCCCATGCGATGTTATTTTCAGTCATGTCCCTAGGATGCTTAGTGCAAATCTTATTATCTTTAAGATTTATTTTTGACGATATACTAATATTTAATTCTTATATTGTAACTATGAAGAACATAACACTTATAACATATTTTTATCATTGTTGGTCGATTACATTTTGTACTTAAATTCAATGACCGAAATAATTGATATTTGCGTAAATTTGTTTTTCAGCACACATGTATTTTCAGTTGAAAATATGTCGCTCCGTGCATCGCACGGGTGAATACTAGTTAGTATGACACCAAAATAATATGATTGACATAATTATTTCCATGTATTGATAAATTAATATATTAATATTAATTAAAATTAAAAAAAAATATGTATATATATATATATATATATATATATATATATATATATATATATATATATATATTAGTTTTTATATATATTCAAATGAAAAAATTATGAAATATATATTAATTTATTAATATATTCATTTTATACAGATATCCCAAATTTTTGTTATTGAATGGATATTCGATATTCCAAAATATTGAAAATTAAAAATTAAAAAAAAAATAACCGTATTCCTTTATTTTAATATTTTAATATTTTAATATTTTAATATTAAAAATATATTTTATCTGAAAATTATTTGAATATTCATAAAAAAATTGAGTATCGTGAATTTTTTCAATAAATATATTTTGAAATATTGCCAATTTAAATAACATATTTTTTCTCGAATTTATAGAATATTAAATTTGGAAATAATATATATACACGTGGTAAATATTTAAATGAGTGTATAAATGTTAAATAGGAAATAAGTTAAATACATACCAAATTAAAAATGACAACTCACCAATTGAGGAATCCACCTCATCAATTGAACTCCAACTAAGCAATTTTGATGAATGACATAGACATTTACCACATGTCATTCATATAGGGCATAGATCCTCTTTTTATATTATATATAGATAGATTGCGAATACGCCGGTACACGGGTGAAATTACTAGTGTTTAAAAAAGTAAACAAATCTATAAAACAAAAAGTAAAAATACAAGTACCAATACAAGAACATAATAAAGAAAATGAGATTTCAATCATTTTTGGGCAAGTTGCAAGTGATGTTGTTGTGATCTTTGGAGTTAGATTTCCGAAGAAACGAACTAATACTCGGAACAATACAGTGGTTGGAAGGGCGATTAACACTGCCGTAAACAGCCATTTCAATTAAGTCAAGTTGTTCGTCGCTGAACGTAATGTCGCACGAGTAGCCTTTGAGCAGTTGTCGGGCAATGTCACTTTTGTCGGATTTCAACCTATTGACCCTGGTTTGAAGAATTTGACAGTTGGCTTCAACAGATTCGCCACCTTTTGAGAAAGGGGTAATATGGTCATACTCATAGCAGAGGCAGCCAATACATGTGTGGAGATTTTTGCAGACAATGTTACCAGCTGCATCCATTCTCCATCTCTCGGGATCTCTACCTGGAACTTGTCTTGCCTTTTCCCAGCATATTCTCTTTGCCTTTGAGTCGAACAATCTTGGTCTCTCCCTTCTTTTGCTACCACCTTCATCCTCCATTTTCAAACTTAGATTATTAAATCAAAATAATTTCAACATGACTTGACTTCAGTAAAGCAGTTACGAAACACGTATCAACAAAAATATGGGAGAAAGAGAGAGCTTAGGAGAAGAATGATTGATTCTTGAGAGAGCAGAAATATATGAGGACAAAGTCGAAGAAAATAGACACAAGCTTTGGTGCTTGAGTATTACGGGATCTATTGAAGCCTCAACTAGATTTCGTATATACTAATTGTCCAACTTCTGATAATCTGTCAGATCGAATGTGATGGTGATACATGTGCCACCGCATCCTTCAATTGGTACAAGTATCGAAAACACTTACCCAAAAACCAAAAAACCAAAAAAAAAAGACGAGTGTTAAAGTAGTACAAAGTGATACTTGCTACTGAGTAACATGAGGTATCTATCTCAAGTAATGGACAATTGCTCAATCAATCAATGGATAAAATGATCCTATATCCGGACTAAGGATTTAAGTACGAATAAGAAAGGGGAATGAATTTCACCAGTCCACTGTCGTAGAAATCCTAAATTCCGATGAAAAATTCTCGATCAAAAAACACAATAAAAATATCCAAGTGCAGCAGGTAAGTTTAATGCGAATGGCAAAAATTGATAAAACAAGACAAACAAAAGACGTCATTAAATTATGTGATGAAGCATGCCTTAAAGAAAAGAAAGACAGATAATAGTAAGGTTAAAGGATTGAAATAGAGGAATACATAATAAAAGAAGAAGAGTGGTGGTATGGAAGAAGTTGAGCATTTTAAGATATGGGTTGGGAGTTGAATCCAATTCCAGCATCTGCAGTGACAATATATATACAGCTGGTTATCCTAAAATTAATCTAATTAAACTTTTTTTTTTCTCTCTAATACTATAATTAATATATTTTGCACACATTTCACAAACCAACAATTCAATTCAAGAGGAATTCTTGAAACAGTCCAGCCTAATAATTAGCTATATCCACCATCCTTATTGACAGACATACTATGAATTTTATCTATCTAGCTTTAATATTCTGATGTTCTAAGATTCCTTTTGTTTTCACTGTATATTTGCGTGAGGGAAAAAAAAAACAGTAAAATTGATTAGTTAATTTTCAGTTGGATGAGAGATGGAGGAGGACATAAGCAATTAAGATTTGGAGATGTAATCATAATCTTACCGTGGTTTTTCAGGACGAAAGCAGAGTCACTTGGGTGAATTGGGAGATGGTGAACTCTTTCCCCCGCCAATGCTTTTCCGTCAAGTGGTGAAAATGAAATGGCGGCGGCGGCGGCGGCAGCAGCTATCAACTGCCGCCGGATAATTGCACTAATTATTTGTCGGCGACAGCGGAAATGGGAAGGAGGGCAAAGTTGTGATGGCGGAAGAGTGATATTATTAATGGTCGAAGTCGAACACAAGTGATGAAGATGAAGAACCCCCATACACAACAAACTGTGTTATTATCTGTATGACCCTTTTCGCCGGCTCAATGAATCAATCATGTGTTCGCTTCTCTTCTCTCTTGATTGCGCACACTACACATAATTGATTTGGCCCTCCTTGGAAATAAGGATACTATTCGATGCCATATTGTATTTTCTGTTATAAAATGGCCTATTTATCTAGCTATTTGGGTTGTGTTTGTGGAAATACATAAGAAAGTAAATAACAAGACAAACAGAGAAATAGAGAATGCAAAGAACAACAATCCGTAGAGAGAAAACGGTGGGTGTTTAGGAAAGGGGAGATTCTCATTTATATAGGTGTAATCTACCGGAAGTTACATAGGAGTTACAACCACTACAATGTGTGGAGATAATGGCGTAGTGGGAAATTGAGAATTTATAGTGGAAAATGTAGGTTACAACCTATCATGTGTTAGGATAAGAAGACCCATTTTTCCATATTATTTACAACACTCCCCATTGGGGATTCCTATCAAAATACTACTGTGCTTTTCATGCTGTCTCGTTAAAACTTTCTGAGTAATAAAAACCCAGTAGGAAAAACAACCTCGGTTAGGAAAAAAAGTACAACGCACAATCTTTCCAATCAGCAAGTGTTGCCTCGTTAAAACCTTGGCGAGTAACGAAAATTCCCGTAGGAAAAATAAACCTCGCACAAAGGAAAAAGACTAGAACAGATTACCCGGGTATCTTCTGGATACTGAGTACATATACCGTACTCCCCTCAAGTTAACTCCCCCTGATAGGTACAAGGGAGTGAGCTCGGATAATCTACTTAAGTCAATAGCCTTAACATGTTTTCAAAAGTTGACTTTAGGCCAAACTTAGTCTAAAAGTTGGAGCGGTTATCTCGAATTTTGATCTGTGGGATCATTATTTGTTTAAGATATTGTTGTTGCTGATTGAAGAAAACTTCAAAGCTATGTACTTGGAGTTGTCACTTTTAATGAAGCCCATCTTTATTTGCTCAGTGCATACTGTATTACTGTAAAATACAATCCCGTAGGATCTTCTGTGTTAGTTAATTCACAGAAATCTCGAACATGCCTAATCACGGCTTCAGGCCATGTGCATTCACTCATTATCTCGTGAAGCAAACATCATGCATGATTTGTTCTAGTGACAACTGAGGTACATTTCATAGAACCGCAAGACATAGCTATTTTCCCAATACTAAACCATGGATTGAGAACGAGCTTTGTATGGATATGACTTCTAGTCAATGCCAATATAAACCACAAGTTTCGCCTCATTCATTGGTGCATAGGGCGTCTCGGTAAGGTAAGATAAGTCTATCTAATAAATTTACCGAAAACGCTAAATCATATCGAGTACATAGAGTTAAGCATAATAATGCATATATTGCATTTACATATGACACTTCTGGTGCTAACACTTCCTCGTCCTTCTCCATGGGACGGGATGAATCATTTGACCTATTCCACTTTCAAACTCCCATAGGTGTTACTCCATAATTTCTCTTTATCCATAACATCCTCTCGATATAATTCGATTGACGGACATAAATATAATTGACATGATAAATTTTAAGTTGGTAGAGACAACAAATTAGTCTCATTGAGATCTTTGATCTTGAACTCAAATTTTCAACAATTGAGTTTATCTTACTTGATTTCTTCAAGAGTTCAAATCAAGTTCGCGTCCTTTACATAAATTGTAGTAATGGGAACACTCAAAACCAATTATTGTTCATATATTCTCTTCCGGAGCAATTACTCACTTAGGATATTATCATATTCTTTCGGAATATTTCAAGCCTCAATTTAAGTGAACGTCTCAGCCTAACTGAGTTTATGTTCCGTGGTCTGGAACTAATTGTTTCGGCGAAACATAGTCCTTCAGGGACTTTCATATAAATATTTGTATATAGATCCCCGTAAGATATTTTGTGACCACGAATTTAATAACATTCACCGTGAAAGAGTATACCTCTTTAAAATCAATCTCAAGATGCTGAAGAAATCCTTGAATTATGAGATGAGTCTTCGAGCTCCCAATCTCATTTGCCCATAAATCATTGTACTATGAGATGAGTCTTCTGGCTCCAAATCTCGTTCGAACTATGAGATGTCTTCTGGCTCCCAATCTCGTTTAAGCTATGAGATGAATCTTCTGGTTCCCAATCTCATTTGAGCTATGAGATGAATCTTCTGGTGTCCAATCTCATTTAAGCTATGAGATGAATCTTCTGGTTCCCAATATCATTTCATTGATTGAGCTATGAGATGTGTCTCCTGGATCCCAATCTCGTTTAAGCTATGAGATGAATCTTCTGGTTCCCAATCTCATAATTTGAGCTATGAGATGAATCATCTGGTTTCCAATCTCATTTCATTCCTTGAGCTATGAGATGAGTCTCCTGGCTCCCAATCTCGTTTAAGCTATGAGATGAATCTTCTGGCACCCAATCTTGTTTTAGTTAAGAGATGAATCTTCTGGTTCCCAATCTCATTTAACTATGAGATGAATCTTTTAGCTATGAGATGAGTCTCCTGGCTCCCAATCTCGTTTAAGCTATGAGATGAATCTTGTGGTTCCCAATCTCATTTCATTCCTTTGTGAGTACTCACTTATATTCCATGGGTGAAATTCAAGGAGTTGTAGGAACTACTAGTCTCTACACTCTTCATTTTATCAAGGAATCAAATTCAGCTCATATTGTTTTTTCTCATTTCGGCCTATCATCCCTTTGTTTACACTTATTTGATCGAGGTTATGTATCATCACTCAATAAAAAGTTCAGCAGTTACTGTGTAGGGAAATTTTTCATCGATGATCATTTCAGCCTGATACAACATCTCATTTGCATGAATAACTAATCGAGATTTTCCTATTCTCGAGAATGGATATTGATGTCGAGGCGTCCCCCGACTTCGTCTCCTAGAAGAATCCATATTCTAGAATTATTTTATGAGATGGATCAGGTGGGATCCCATTGGTACTTGTGCTAACCGAATTCGATTGTTGGGCATTATTCTCTTCTGGAGATGAGAATCTTTTGATCCCATTGCTCTCCCCCTCTTCTAGGCAGGGAGGCAACATTGGTTAGCAGGGACTGATGGCCTACCCATATTTTATCCTTCTAGGACATCTGTCATTGCTGACTTAATTGAGATCTCGTCACTTTTTCAAATCAGAGGGTGAGCTTGAACATAGTTGGGATAATCTAGCGCTTAGAATTAGATAGTTGAATATTCCTCGTGGGATCGATACTCGAACTTTTAGTCCATTATATTACTTGTACGATACGTGCACTTGCGTGTAGGTATTTCCAACCAACAAGTTTTTGGCGCCGTTGCCGGAAAATATTAGTATTAGTATTAGTATTAGTATTAGTATTAGTATTAGCATTAGCATTAGCATTAACATTAGCATTAGCATTAATATTAGTATTAGGGTTAGTATCAGTATGAGTATCAGTATGAGTACGAGTATCAGTATTACTACGAGTATCAGTATTAAATTATTAATATCAATATTAGTATTAATATCAATACTAGTATTAGGATTAGGGTTATGATTAGTATTAGTGTTAGTATTAGTGTTAGTATTAGTATTAGTATTAGTATTAGTATTAGTATTAGTATTAGTATTAGTATTAGTATTAGTATTAGTATTAGTATTAGTATTAGTATTAGTATTAGTATTAGTATGAGTATTAGTATTAGTATTAGTATTAGTATTAGTATTAGTATTAGTATTAGTATTAGTATTAGTATCAGTATCAGTATTAGCATTAGTATTAGAATTAGTATTAATAATAGTATTAATATTAGTATTAGTATTAGTATTAGCATTAGTATTAGTATTAGTATTAGTATTAGTATTAGTATTAGTATTAGTATTAGTATTAGTATTACGATTATTAAGTATCAGTATTAGTATTAGTATTATTATAAGTATTAGTATTATTAAGTATCAATGTTGGTATTATTATTGGTAGGGGCATGTACATCTTATCTCTTTTGCAATATTTATAAGTTGTGTTGTTGTTTGAGTAATGTGCATCACTAATTGAATGTTGTTAGTGATATACTTGCAGCTTATTTGAATATCAATTGTTTTAACTTTATGCTACTGTGTTTGTTGTTAAGTTAGTTATTTTGCAGAAGATTCACATGGTGTAGTAGATTGCATCCCATGGAATAGAATTATACCATATGTTTTAAATGATTTTACTTAATCTTCATATTGTGTTTTGCGCGCTTCGCGTATTCTTCTTTGTAATATTTAATTGAATTTCATATGTTACAACTCTGAATTAAGAGATAATATTTTTTTTTAATTCCTTCCAGTTTTACTTGAATTGGTGTTGTTATAAAGAGATAATGTTTAAATATTATTATTTTTCTCATTTTGAAACTGACATCCGTGCAACGCACGAGTGAAGTACTAGTTAATTCAAAACATTTTGTTTTTGGTAATTATGAATATTGAGGGTCTTTATTTTCCCTCTTTAATTGAACTTTATCTCGGGTTTCTATTAATTAACCTCAAAAGGCCCTGTTCGCTTGCCACTATTAAGTATTGTTGACTAAATACTAGAGCTTCAGTCGACAAGATTCAAACTAATTCAAGCCTGTGAATGACATTGAAGCCCGCAACTATTCAATAAAACTAATAACTTCTCCACACTTGTGGTTAATTTCGGAAGTAGCTACTAAAAAGAAAAGTGACGAGTTCATGATCACTAGAATAATATAATTTAGGATTAGGGATGGCAATGGGTACGGGTTTGTCGGGTCTTAGACCCGAAACCAACCCGTTTGGGGCGGGTCTAGATAAGTTAAATTGTTTTGGATCGGGTAATGTGTTTAAATTTCTAGAAAATCGGATGGTTTTGGGTCGGGTTATGGATCTTATTGGAACCGACCCAGAACCGGCCCGTATAAATATATTATATTTTATAATTAATCTATATATAAGAATTAATTTATGATTTCATTTATCAAACTTTCAATTTCAACCGTGTCTATGCTCATTATCCATTTTTCACCATTTCATTTTTTTGAATCTCATTTCTCGTAAGTAAACTCTATCACTTGTCGACCACCGCTAGCCGTCTTGCCTTTTGAACTTTATTTATCATAGAAGTTAAATATAATTAATTATATAATTTTATTATTCACTTTATATTACTTGTAGAATTATTTTAACATATTGGGTTTTAATTTTTAGATTATATTGTTAAAATATAGAAGCAAAAATATTATGAAAGTTCAAAATTAATATTTTTTTTTTATGTTACCGGGTCTAGCGGGTCTGGCGGGTCCGAACCGTTTAATTCGGGTATGGGTTGGGGCGGATCTGGATCTAAGTTGAACCGGGTTGGAGCGATTCTGAGTTTTATATATTTTTCACGGGTCTGATCTCGGGTTTAGGCAAACCCGGCCCAGAAGCGACCCGTTGCCATCTCTATTTAGGATATGACTGTTAAATTAATGATATTATTACGAAATCATACCTAATACCAAACTTTAGCAGTTTTAGTATAGACATACTACAATGAACCGAATATCTAACTAAATAAATAATTATTAGTCAGTAGGGAGTTAATCCAATTAAATCTAGCACAAATTAGTCCAACCTAGGTAACCAAACGAGGCCTCAACAAATACATGTATTCTGAAGTCCTTTTATCATCCTTTCATCATGAAGAAAAACATAAGTGAGTAACCAATATACAATAAGGACAAGGTATCAAGGTTCCATGAATCACACATGGAGAGCACAACACAATAAACTTGAAAGCTTTTTGCTCCCATGAGATGAACTTGTAGACATTTAACATCAAATTAGAGAGTATGATTTCACCAAAACTATATATAATGAAGGCCTGCCCAATCACCGTAGATAAAGGATTTCTGATTCCGACTAATCAATTGCTGCTTTATTTCTTCGGCTTGCAGGCTTTGGTAAGCCATCAAATATAGGCCATAAAGATGACACTGTGGCATTATCGGAATCTTGCAAACTTGAGGTACTTGATGACTTGTGTACTCCATTGACAGTGTCGCTAGGAAAAGAATCAGCTGACTCAGCATCGACAGTTTTGGCGGCTGACTTGGCCCTGAGAGCCAACCCTTTTCCTGTTATTGCTGACATGGCAGTGCTGACTGTGTTTTCCTCCTTGAGAATCTTTTCGGTGGGACGAGATGTAAAATCAGCTTCCGACTTTTGACGCATTCTTAATAGCTTTTCAATCCATTTATTAGAGCTGCTATTTTCAGCTTCTTGTGATAAAAGCGGATCTAACAGACCCCCGTTTCCCAACATTAAACCGGTAGCTACGCTTTTTGATTTCCTATGATGACTCGATAATAGACGGTTAGAAGATGAGGAAAATGCCATATCAGAATCATTAGCTTTTTCAGCCGCTTGTCTTTGACCAAAATAACCTTGTAAGCTGCTCATGGATTGAGATACTTTCCGCTCTGACCAAGAGTTTAATTTCAGAGACTGAAACGAATCAAACAAATCAGAATGCCTACGGTTGGATGGGGTATGCTTGCAATTGCTTGGCCTGCAATATAAACATTAAGCCACTTCACTTATTGGTATGATGAAATAAAATCATTGACATAGAAAACTTAGAAACTACACATTAACAAGAGACACCAAGCACAGCTCAACAAATAGTTATGCAAAAGCGGCATAAAATTTTCATTAATTTGAACTCTTTCAGTTCATATTTTAAATGTTTTCCAACTACTATTCCCCTCTATGGATATGGTTATAGAGTTTCTTAGAAGTTACGTAAACATACAGTTCCAACTGAACTCTCCGATGTATAGATTATGGATCGAATAATTAGTTTGGTTCTTGTGCTATACGTAGACTTGAATTATATATATATTG